CAGCAGAAGCCACTTTGCAACACAAGCTACTTTGCAACAAGCGCCACTTTCAAACCGGCACGAATTTGCAGCAGACACATTTTGCAACGGACACCACTTTGCAACCGGTGCTGCTTTGCAACAGGAATCATTGTGCAAAAGGCACCAGTTTGCAAAAGAAACCACTTTGCAACGAACTCACTTTGCACCAAAAACCACTTTGGAACTGATACTGCTTTAGAACAGACTCCAAAAATTTCAAATGCTTGTAGGGTAGGCCCAAACGTTCGTGAAGGCTAGTGCCGCGGTGCTGGGGTGGCACTTGGCTGGGGAACCCACTAGCAAAATTTCAGCGCTGACGCTCGCTTGGTTGCCGAGTTGAAATACCGGACATACACACATCACACACCAGAGTCGTTTTTTGCATTTTCAAATGCAAAAACGCATAAAAAGCGAAGCACGAAAGTTTGTCGACGAATTTCGTTGGGATTTTCGGATTTAAATGATCTTTTAACTTTGTGTGCGATAACCCATTATATCTAACCATTCCAAAAGATTGCATACAGCAAGAACGTGCACGAGTATTGCCGATGCAGTCTTGTGTTTTTTAAACCGGTTATTTGCCGTATCCTTTTGCGAGACGTTAACATGCGCGAACATTGTTACTGGGGCTTCGCACTCCACGTAATCAGTCAGTACTCTCTTAGTATTTCAGTTTTGTTTTGTATCTATCTGTCAATACAGAAGGATGACGTTGGCGTTGCAGAAAGTTGATCCATCTGTATTCTTGTAGATCATTAGTACTAATGAGGTGGTGAGCAAGTACATGCAAAACTATGTTTACACTGAAAGGGAGAGAAATTGATTTTACCAGGAACTCAGCTTCCTACGTATTTTCTGCCCCTCACTAAATCTTATTGATTCCACGGAAACTATTCTTGCTTTGTAAAAGTTAGTCGTAATATAATGACTCATGGATGGGAGGCATGGTAAATGACAGCAAAGTGTAGCCCAACAACTAGATAAAACTATTTATGTTAAATCGGAAGCGCAAGGCGTCAAAAGGATCGACCTGAACACCTATGTGTGTTTGAGTGGGTAGAACAGGCCCACGATAAGTCGGAATGAAGAATCTAGTAGCCGTATCAATTTGGGAGAAGAAACGCAACGATGAAGCAAAACTGTAATGCCAACATACTGTTATCAAAATCATTTTCAAGAGGTTCTAATGCCTACTAAGGCTAATATCCCTAGGTTCAAAA